GTTATTTGTGTGAATATTTTTTCACAGGACTATTGCCAGTATGTTTTGTTTTAATTATGGAGATGAAATGGCTTTGACTTTGAATCCTTGATCCTTCATGTATCGTACAGCTCTGCATGGACTCTTTCAACTCTTGGCAAATTTTCCCCATTTTAAACTAGTTTTGGTAATATAGGAGTCAGCTCTGCACTTCCTGAACCTCTTCATTACAAACAGAGAAGCCCTTTCCATCTGCCTTCAAGCCCTGCGAATTTGTATTTTTGCTTCAAAAGTGAAACCGCAGGCAGAGTTCCGTTTCTCATTACCACTTCTCTACCTGAGCTGTTAGTTTTGTTTTTGCTGGAGACTGAGGGCAAGTGAGAGGGCATCTTACCCAGTCATGGAATCTGGAAAGTTCTTCAGAAATGTTTGCTTTGCACCTCTCTCTCTCTCTCTCTCTCTCTCTCTCTCTCTCTCTCTGCTTTCTTTCTTTTTATTTATTTATTTGTTGTTTGGTTTTGTTTATTCCAGACAGGGTTTCTCTGTAACTGCCCTGGCTGTTCTGGAACTAGCTCTATAGACCAAGCTGGCCTCTGCTTCCCGAGTGCTGGGGTTAGAGGTGTGCCTTTATGCTCTACTGCGCACTTCTTCAGTTTGTCCTTTGAAAATAATTGGAAAACTGATCAGAATTCTTTTTGTGTTTAAAATAATCTACAGAGTCTAACACAAGTTTTAAGGACAGAGACAGTCTTTTCATTGGGCATGCCATTGTAAAAACTTCCTTGAGGGACTTGTCACAACTCAGGAGAAGACTGAGTTGTGACAAGTCGGCCCTCTATTATCTGAAGCAATAAGCAATGACAGCTGTACATAATAAGCGAGTGTGCATTTTTCAGAAACAAGCCTGTTTTACATACCAATCCCAGTTCCCAAACCCTCCCGTCCTCCTACCCTATTCCTCCCACAAACCCTTATCCTATCATGATGCCTTCCATGGGAGGGGTCTTCAAAGTCTGTCATATATCATTTGAAGCAGGGCCTAGGTCCTCCCCCATGTGTCTAGGCTGAGGGAGTACCCCTCTATGTGGGATGGACTCCCAAAGTACATTTGTACACTAGGGATAAATACTGATCCACTACCAGAGGCCCCTTAAATTGCTCAGTCATCCTAATTAACACTACTTTCAGGGGGTCTGGGTCAGTTACATGCTGGTTGCCCCATTATAGGTCCCACAGACTGCCCAGGCCTTCTAATGAGACCCACATTCAGGGGGTCTGGGTTGGCCCTATGCTGGTTTCCAAGCTACCAGACTGGGGTCCATGAGGTCCCCTTTGTTCAGGTCAGCAATTTCTGTGGGTTTCTCCAGCCTGGTCTTGACCCCTTTGCTCATCACTCCTCCCTCTCTGCAACTGGATTCCAGGAATTTGGCTCAGTGTTTAGCTAGAGTAAGGCTCTACACTTAGGATTGACACCTCATTTAGGCTCATTTTCTATAATCCAGACAGTTGTTCCAATTTTTACACTTCATGGAGTTGATTATGTTATTCTGGAATCGATAAATTCAAGGATATGTGATGATTTCCATTAACTGCAGAGGTCTGTACTTTGTAAGGAACAGAGCAAAGTTGAGTTTGCTGAATACTAGCAGAGAAAAAATTTCAAAAGGTAGTCTTTAGTGTTAAATCATTTTTATGCATAAAATTTATTTGATGTACAAACAGTTTATAGTTCATGCCTTATACATAATCAAGGGCAAACAAAAGGATGCATTTTGGAACACAGATCACAAACATGCTAGGTTGGAGAATATTTTATACTTCTTTTGAGTGAGTAATGAGATGAAAGTAAATATTTTCTAAAAAGAATTGATAAGCACTAACAAACTATTAACTTTACTACCAATGTTGACAAATACGGAGTACTGTTGATAAAGATGAATTTTTTAGTTAGTTATTAAACTTTCTTAATTAGAAACAAAAATAACCAAGAACAGTTAGACTGATAACATCAGTTAAAGATACACAACAAATCATAAAAATTAGGTTGACATTGTATTCCATGTCTTCTGAATAGACACTTGTTTAACTGGACTGTAGTTCAATTTAATCACATATAGCCAAATGTGCTAAATGTGAAATGTCCCAGGATAATTTTACATTTGGTCTTTAGAAATCTTGTGCATACTAGCTTAATATATGTAGTAAGTAGATTCTTTATTGGACTGACAATTCACTGTGTTCTGAGAACCCATTTTAATAGATTGGTGTACTAGACATTTAAAGTAGGGTTTGGGGGGCTCTCTAGTCATCTTTTATTACACAATTCCAATTTCAATTCAGATATGAAATACAGCTCCATTATGGATATGATTAAGATAACTAGAAACAAGGGCAACTCATTATAAGGTAGATTTTCTTTTTAATCTGCAAAATAAAACCAAAATATTGGAAGGATCTTCCCTCTGGACAACTCTATATAAACTCTAGCCTTAATTATTTTCTCTTCAATAAAAAAAAATAATAAATGACTTAAAGTAAGCAACTGATCACAGGAGTTTGCAGAAGAAAATTCAAACTACATTTACAAAAGACAAAGGAACTTGGAATAGGTAAAAAATGCAAATAGTGCAGCAGTTTGAATGACTGTCTGGCTCTTACAATCCGACAAGGCTGTGGCCATCGTCCTGCTAGCAGGCAGTGGCATGACTTTTAAAAATAAACTTACAGTTATTTTAGTATTGCTTGACTTTTGTGAATGAGCTCTGCAGAAAAACTGAGGCTTACTCTTTTCTATGGCTAGACACAGCAGACAAGTCATTTCTCGCTTCTGAGATTGTCAGCAAGGAAGGAGAGTGATTTGAGGGGTTGAGATGAATCACAGGGTAAGATTTCTTCCACCCACCACCACATACCATGCTTTCTGCATTATAAAAAAAGGAATTAGCTCGCAACCCCAGTGACAGATGCCTTTCAGTCATTCGCATAGCTTCCCTCATTACTATTATGGTCATCACAGAAGTAATTTGACATGTCAGAGTGGACAGATCACACGAATCTCAAGAAGCATCAGGTTAGTCTGAATCTTCAGATGTGTGTCTGGGACTGTGCCTGCCGTCATTACATTTATTTGAAAACTGATCATTGGTGATCAGACAACACTTTATCAAGGGTTTAATGGTGCACTTCTTTGGGTATAAATTCAAGAAAAGGACTTCAGAAATGCTTTGAACATTGGTATATTTGTGGTTTTGTTATTAAAGACATAGAATAGCTTAAGTAAATGAAAACAAGAAACTTTATCTTATTATCTCAGATTATTACTGTTATTTTGTTTTACCAATCTTGGGTGTAACCTGCAAGAGACAATGTATTAGGGTGTCAGATTTATCTTCTAAAAATTCTTGACAATGTGTGTTGTTTATTTGATTCTGATATTGGTTGTCAAAACAGTTAAGACTGGACATGAATGAATGTGCTTATAGTAATAGCTCAGCTTTTATCACTTCGAATGACTTTCTCAGCTGGCTACGTTTTTAGAAGCATTTTCTCAAAAATAGTGACTCTAATGATTATTAAGGTGTTTCATTGTTCTGTATGATAAAAATTTACCCTTGATGTTCTGTGTTCTGCTTTTTCTTGAGCTTTGAAGAATTGTTCAACTATTTTGAATTCAATTTTGAAGTTTCTCACAAAACTTTATTTGCTATGGTTTACACAGTCTTTTTTTTTTCTATAAACACAACAAATCTATTATATAGCTATATGTTTGCTACTGGTATTGATGTTATTATAATATTTTAATATGAAAAGTACTTATAAAAGGAAATAATATTTTATTTTGTAACAGTGAATAACAATAAACAAATTGAATACTTTGTCAAACCAAAATGTATACTTTCAGCTTCAAAATAGGTTCAATATAAGAACATGGCCAATAGAGATTTCTCTTACTGTAAGAGATACTTGGGAGGAAATTAGAGAAGCTTGTCTCTGAAAATAATCCATGTTTTCTTATTTCTAAGTCTAACACTTAGCAATAAAAAGGTAATTCATTTAGGCCAATAATGGGTCCAAAACCCCATGTTTTCTGGAATCAAAGCCCAAGCTTCCAATAGCCCACTTGCCTTTTGTTGACACCATTAATTGCATTTTCGTTTTTGTTTTTGTTTTAATATGGTTGTAAGCTGACTCAGTAAGTATTGTATTAGGTAAGGAAACTCAGTAAGACCTTAGAGAGAGAAAGCATGTGTAAGACACTAGTACCATGTCTGTTACAGTTTTTGTTCTTTGGCTGGATACAGAACATCCCATGGCATCTTGAAATTATATATACCAAGCAAAAGAATTGTTAAAGGAATGTGCAATGCTAACATTTTAATTAGAACCCCAAGTGATAATCTGCATGGGGGTGGGCCCTAGCCTCCAAGCTTCAATTACATTAGTAATAATGTTTTCATTTGATAACTAGATGACAGGTAATTAAAAACATGTAATTACAACAAACTCCAATTCTATTTTATAAAAGCAATGAAAACAAACAGCATATTAAGACTTTAAAAAGCAGTTACCATAGCACTATAATAAGCTGTATTGTTACTACTGTTTTTTACAAGGCAAAGGTCAAACCTTGCACTGTGCTTCCTTGTTAACATATTTCAGATCAGGTGACGAGGTGAGTTTCAGTTCATAAACACAGTGCAAAGTGGCTTTATCTTCATGAACTTTTTCTGCCAGACCAAAGCTGTCAAGAATGGCCTGGGATGAAAGCCAATGCTGGAGGTAGATGAAGACTCACTAGATAGACTACTAAATGGGACTAGGGACTAGAATCCATCTTAGTAACTCAGGGACTTGTGAGTTACAGAGTCCAAGTGAGCTTTTCTGTTATCCTGCATCCCACTACAGTCCTTACCAGATGAAAGTGTCTCTTCACAACACAGCCCAGTGTGAACAGGAGGGTGGGTGGTCTTGATAGGGTCTGAAGGGATGCTGACACACATGAAGAAGTAGGTGTATGAGTTCAGGGACAATGGGGATTGTATTTTGCCTGGCTGACTTGAATGCCACGTAAGAGCATTTAGCTGAAAATGCAGCACGTGGCCTAATTTTTTGACAACACAGGAGCTCTTCAGGGGGATTCTTAAAAATTCACCACTTCCTTGGGTTTATGAAGCAATATGAATGTCATCTTCAATCTTTTCGTTCTCCATTTCTGACAAAACCCAACTTCCTAGGAGTGCCGACAGACCTTGCAATGTCACAGCTCCCTTCAGAGTGACACAGACCTCTTCCTCCGTTTGACAAAATCCTCTGCATGGATGAGGTTGGAAAGAGCCTTAGCGAGGTGACTGTCTGACATGTCAGTGCTGCTCTCAGAGTCGTAGTTCTTCAGACAAGGGCACAGACGGTGTACAACAGCCCGCCGGACATAGCTGTCGAAGACATAGTAAATGAAAGGGTTGACGCAGCTGTTGGCAAATGCCAAAGGCCCACTCACCTCCATGGCCAGCTGAAGAGATTCCAAGGAAAACTGGTGTTCTGGCTGTAACCTTGAGACAATGGCCAGGAGCTTGAAAGTATTAAAGGGCAACCAGGAGAAGATGAAGGCTGCCACAACAATAACGATGATCTTTATGGACTTCCTCAGCTTTTTGCTATGCTTTCCTGACTGCTGGTAATGAGCACACAGCCTCCTTGTGATGCAACAGTAGCAGGTCAAAATGCTCAGTAGGGGGACAAAAAAGGTGACAATTAAGGCTACCAGACCCCACATCAGTTTTAGTGGAGTGGGTTCCTTCTCTGCGCAGTACGGCTTGCCATCCATGTGAGTAAGCTCCCTGGACAGAAGAGTGGGCAGTCCCAGGAGGCAGGAGATGATCCAGACACTGGCGCAGACAGCATATGCACAGTTTCTCCTCCTCAGTCTTCTGGATAAGGCTGGGCACATGATGGCCAGGTAGCGGTCCATACTCATGCAGGTGAGTAAGAAGACACTACAGTGCATGTTCACTGAGATGGCATAGGAGCTGCCTTTGCACAGGAAAGAGCCAGTCCTCCACAGTCCTAGAGAGGCTTCCTTGTCTACCCAAAGAGGTAGCGTGACAAGGAAAATGAAGTCAGAGGCAGCCAGGTTGATGATGAAGATGTCAATCAATCTTCGGTTGCTGTATTTGAAATGCAGTGCAACCATGAGGATGAAATTCCCCAATACTCCAGTCAGGAACACGGCTGTGTAAAAGATTGGGAGAAAGACAGATGTGTAGGAGACATGGGGGAGAGTCTCCATGACAGGATGGTCTGTGCCTGCAGCTTCATAGTAATCCAAATAAAGAAGGGTTGCTGTTGGGTCCATCACTGAAGTTGGAAGCTGAATCTGGTAAGTGTTCTTACCTACCAAGTGTCTTATCAATTTGAGAACTCAAGGGAACTTCTTGATAAAGTCTCTTTCTCCTCTCTCTGCTCTCTCTGTTCTTTCTGTCTCTCTCCCTCTCATTCAAGATCTTGGACAAACATGAAAACAGGTTAAAAATGTAGTTTCTGCCAGTCTTCTAAAGGCCCACAAGTAGCACCCCTGTGATTGGTGTTGGCTGTGGTTGTGGTTTTCTTTCTTTGTGTTCGCCTGTGAAACTTACATGTTTTTTTTTTTTTAACTTCTTTATTTGAGATGTTTGATTTGTTTTCCTAAATTCAGAAATTAAGAAATGAATCAACATTTTATTTTCACTTCTTTTTAAAAATGTGGCTTTTTTTTTTTACACCAAATCATTTGAATGCAGCCTTCTATGTCACCTTTAACATACTGTTATTGCAGAATTGTAAATTGCTGAAGATACTCTATTTTCTCACAGTGTTGGTACACACACACACACACACACACACACACACACACACACTTAAGTTTTCACTGCATACAGAGGGAATTGCAATCTTCCTAAACTATGAGGTTCACACACACAGCAAACACTGTGATTGCAATTAAGGCATGGGGTCATTCCCATTTATCTAGCTCGTTTGTTTCATAATCAGCCCTACCTTGATAAACTCATTTTTAAAAAGGCTTTGGATTGCATCTTGTACTTTTATTTATTTCAGGGTTTTGTTTTTTTTTTTTTTTTTGGTTATCCATTCATTTCTCTCCCCCTCTTTCCTTCTTTCTTATTTTCTCTTTCTCCTTTCCTTCTCTTTCCTTCCCTATTTCTATTTCTTTCCTTTTGCTCTTCCTTTCTCCCTTTCCTTCCCCTCCTCCTCTCTTTCTTTTCTTCTTTCTGTGGATCGATGCCAAGAAGTCTAGCTGTAGGTGCTATTGTGATCTATGGAGATTACAAACATGTTTTTACAAACACAAACTGTGATGTCTACCTTCTCTCGTGCTACTGTAACTCAATCACAAAGTTCTCTTTTATTTTAGGGTACATCTCCAAGTACAAGAGACTTTCCTTTGCAAACCACAGCCACCTTCATTTCTGCCTCTTCTCTGTGCCATGCTGCAGAGATTCTTTCTTTTTCTTTTTCTTTCTTTCTTTTTTTTCTTTTTCTTTCTTTTTTTCTTTTTTCTTTTTTTTTTTTTTTTTTGAGATAGGATCTTGCTGTGCACCCAGGGAAGCCTTGAAACGAAGACCTTTCTACTTCATCTTCCCAAGTACTTGAAATAAAGGTATTTGCTACTGTACCCAAAAGGTTTCATTTTTTTTCCTCCTTTCAAACCATTATCTTTTAGTAAGTGTCCCCACACATCAGTGGACTGGCAAATACTGTATAAAGGGCCTTTATAGGAGAGCTGCTCACTTCAGAATTTTGGTACAATATTTGAGGAACAAACTAAAACAGAAGGCATTTCACTTTGTGTTTTCATGTGTATTCCTTCTTCTCATGTATAGAGATCCTAGAAAAATGTAACAACTTTTGAAATTGACTCGATTGGTTTCAGTCTTCACTGTCTGACGTGTCTTGAGTCTCTTGCACTCACCTCCTGCCTTCCTTCCATCCATCTCACTTAATGCTCAAGAGTTCATTTTCACAGCCATCACTATTGACCAGAAGAAGGGATGCTTGTAGATGAAAATAGAGCTGCTACATATTTGAAGTCCTTTCTATGGAAGCAGCATAATTTTTTCAATAACTTTTTCAGTGCTGAAAAGACTTCTGACCTCTGAGGCCAGGCAAGAGGTATAAGATTATGGAGGGATGAGGCCTCATCTCCCACGGAGCAAATCAAGAAGTCACTCGAGCATTGACCTATGGGGTGACTTTTCTTCTCTTTTGTCCCCAGCTGTTCTGAGATGTTCATTCATGCCATGGGGGAGGGGGTATATTCTTTGCTAAATATAGACTGTAGCTCAGAGAAACTAATTAACAGTTTGACGTTTCTGGGACAGAAATCCTTCCCACTGGGTAAACTTTAATTATTTAAGAGAATAATTCATTTTTCTCAAATAGTTTGAAGTAGGATAATATTTACATGGAAAAGGATAGTTCAGCACTGCGTCTATATGTGCATGTGTTGAAGGGTCAGTCACAGAATGTTCTGTAGTTGTGCCTTAGTTGTAATACTAAACTCATTCAGTCAGAAGTTATTGTGCACTTGCTAACATAAGTCTGATTTGGGGATAAGTGTTTTTTGTTTTTGTTTACTTTGAGACAGGGTTTCTCTGTGTAGCCCTGGCTGTTCTGGAACTCACTCTGTAGACCAGGCTGCCCTCCAACTCAGAGATCCACCTGCCTTTGCCTCCTGAGTGCTGGGATTAATGGCATGTGGCACCACTGCATGGCAAGGGGCTAGGACCTTTTAATCCTTAGATAAATCTCAAGAACATATCTGGACACTAGTGAGATGGCTCAGCTGTTTGTAGGCATTTGCTTTCAAGCTTGATAACCTGAGTTTGATCTCTGGAACCTATTTGGTAGGTTCCAGCATCCCCTGACCTACCTACCTACCCCCCCCCCACACAATGTAATAAGACACTTTAAAGAAATTAAAATTAAAATATAAAAATGGAAAATAATTTATGTTTATATTTTGGAGAAATATATTAGTTTAAACGAATGTATACCTGGAGATGAAAATAAAATTTCTAGCTGGGATAGGTAACACACACCTTTAATCCCAGCACTCAGGAGGCAGAGGCAGGTGGATCTCTGTGAGTTCAGGGCCAGACTGGTCTACATAGTGAGTTCCAGGACAGTCAGGATTACATAGAGAGACCCAGTCTCAAACAAACAAACAAAAGAGGAAAAGAAAATCCCTAAACATTTACAATTTTATTTAATTTCTTTAGGCCTAAATTTTCTTTCAGGCTTCTGAAGTTGCTGAGGTAGTGTGTGTGTGTGTGTGTGTGTAAACCATATCTAATGAATCTGACATTTACATCAAACCCTTGAAGCAGATATAGATAAGGCAATTAGCTTTATCATATGTGGCAATTCTGACATGTGGTGAAAAATGAGAATGAGCATTCTTCATAATGACAATGCTCACTATGGAGCGATACTATCTCCTCCAGAACTACATTAGGAAACAAATGGGCTGTTTTAAGCTGAAGGTGGGGAGTGTGTAGCATGGTTCTTGGTAACACAGAATAAAATGCTGGCATAGAAGAAAACCCACAGTAAAGGCTGGCTATAAAATAGGGAAGTTCCAAGAAACCCCAGTGCAAGGGTCATTTTTAGCACTTTGAACATCATTTGAAATACACATGCAGATACTCGTTAAAGTAACCAGTTAAACATAGTTAAAAGCTCAAAAATAAAAAAAAAAATCAGTGAGTCTATAAGCATGTGAAAATGTAATATAGATGAACTTTCTTCAAAACAGAGGAGAAAGTATTAGTAATTTAATTGAAGTATGCATGCACCTCCTGAGAACAAATTTTCCCAAACAACAAGAGTCAGATTTTCTTCCCAATCCCTGCCAGAAATGATTCCATTGGACTTTTATTTGTATTATTTATGTTATTCCTTTTGAGACAGGGACTTGCTATGTACACCAACCTAGCCTCAATGTCCCAGAGTTCTGCCTACCTCTATCTCCAGTGCTGGGATTAAAGGGTGTGTGCCCTGCTTCTTTGGATTTTTAAAATATTCTATATAGTATTCACGATGTCATTTCATGTGGCTAGTTACCTTAGCATCTGATCCACTGAACTGATCATGAACAATTTAACGGCAGAGGCTACTCACCTCCTGTCTACTCACTAAAACAGACAGCAGCTACCTATTCCTTTTGAAGTCTCAAAGCTATAGTGTTGAGCTTGTGGATGCCAGGGCCCATTACCCACATTAGAGTTGCCTGTTCCATCTACTAATTCTAGAATCTTTTAATTTTTTTCTTTGCTTTGTTTTTTCTAGATAGTGTTTCTCTGTGTAACAGCACTGACTGTCCTGGAACTTGCCCTGTAGAGTAGGCTGGCTTTGAACTCACAGAGATCCGCCTGCCTCTGCCTCTTGAGTGCTGGGATTTAAGGCATGTGCCACCACCGCCTGGCTCTAACTATATATTCTTAAACCTTGTTTAGGTTTATAGACTCTGTCACTGGGGATGCAGCCTAGGATGCTATATTTAACACATGAAAGTTTAGAAGCACTATACCTGTTTGCATAAAATCAACACCACAATATGCTGTGCTTTGTAATTACTTTGGCTACTTTTTTTTTTTTTTTTTTTTTTTTTTGTTCCAAAGGCTTAAAGATATGTGTCAAAAGCTGGAACCTGTAGAAGGCTTTTAGCGTGGAGTTTGTAACACTTTAGGAATTTTTTTTTTAAAATTTCTTACATTTTTGGTTGTGAGCCTAGCCTTTAACAGCTGAGCCATTTCTTTAGCCCTTTTTATTTTTATTTTTTGAATTTCTAATCTCCATTTTTGTTCAATCCCTCAGATATGTTCAGAACTGGATAAGATGTTGAACAAGAAGAGGTAGGTTTACCCCACTGAGACATTTGCTCAGGTGAGTCTACTATCCTACTATATATGGCTCTAACTGCGGTTTGTAGCCTCCAACTCACATGAGTCGGTTAAGCATTCTATAAGAATGCTTAATCCAATTAGTCTGTAACCTCTGCCATTGGCATTAACTTACTTTGGCTTCTTTCCTCTCTTCAGGTTTGCCTCCCAAAACTGGTTGACATGTCATCAGATTGTACATGAAAAGTGAGGCAGAAAAAGCCATCTCAGATAGCTATTATGTTCACGTGTGCTCTGCTTACAGATCCCAGGATAAGCAGCAAAGAGCTTGAAGCAAACTATTTCTCTTTATTCTTACAGACGTATGATCATATACATTTAAAAATACCCCCTTCTTCACTTCTTATATGAATATAATAAAGTATTCGATCATTTAAATAGTTAACTTTGAGAAAACAGTTCACACTCTAGGTTTTTTTTTTATTTCTAAAGT